TGGGGACCCCGACACGGGTGGCAGTGGCCACCCCAGCAGGGCCTGGGGCAGTGCCAGGGCCTCAGGGTCAGGCCCCGGCGTGGGGCAGAGACGCGCGGTGGCAGCATGAGGGTGGATCAGCGCTGGGTCTCGGCTAGCAGAGCTGAAGGATGCAGGTGTGCGCCACAGACCCCGAAAGCTCCTACCAGTGGCTGGCAGTACCGTCTCTGGGCTCCCGTCCTGCTTCAGCGGTGGGGCGCAAGGGCTGGTTTGGGGCACCTCATTTGACGTTCACCTCAGCTGTCCTCGAAAGCTACAGGGCACATCCGGGAAAACATTCTGGCCCAGCTCACGCACAGAACGATACTGGACTTGCCACCCAGTGATCCCATCTGACATCTCGCTGGGCCTTAAGCTGAAGGGATTACTCAAGAGCGCCTTGGGCTTGGCAAAACTAAGCCAATTCTGCCTGTCTAGCCCACTGAACTGTGAGGCTGTCTTGTGTAAGGTGACGTAGTAATCGGGAGGTAACTCGTAGAAGAGGCCACAGAGGTCAGAAGTGACAGGACCCCCAGAAAACAACGCAAAAGCCACAGCCAAACACCCTGCAAACAGCAACACCACCTAACTATTCCCTGCCGACTAGAAAAAACAAAGATAAAGGAACGCGGGATAGACAGTTTCTTGGCATTGTTTGCCTCAGACCAATGGCTAAAAAGCGATACCTAGGGCACTGCAAGCAGAAGCACAAACAGGAGAATTTTATCCTTGGGCTGCGGTCGCTTGAGCGCTCGCCCAGGAACCCATGCGCTGCAAAGCCACAAGCAATACAAATAACTGTTGTGCAAACCAGTTCCTTCAGCCAGTACCTAGAAATTTTTGAAGAGTTCCCGCTAGCTTTTTTAGCGGGCTCAGCTGGGTTTGCTTTAGGTGAAAATGCTACCATCTGCTGCAATTATATAATTAACCTTCATAGTTCAGGCTTAATGATGCTCATTAAGGTTGAGTGTTTTTATTGGCCGAGTGCTGTCACCAGTTTTGCATGGAACGGTAAAGGCAACTCTAAGGGCTGTAGTTTGAGGCATAATTAGCAATATGTGAGAGTGTTACGCAGGGGCACAGGTGAGGGAAGGCTGAGGACTAGGTGGGAGCTTCGTTTTATTCTATGCTCAGGCTGGAGTGCAATGAACAGGAGAGGTCTGTTACATCTGGGCTGCTGATAATAATAATCAGCTACAGAGGTGTGGCAGCAAATTTGGAATATACGTGTGTCAGGACATCACGAGATCCCCGTCATCCACTGTTGGCTGTGTGACTTCCCTCTCCTCAGTCAGACCTCCTCTGACCCCAATTCCCAATATTTCTTCATTTACTCTATCATTAGTTAATGAGTGTATTTTTGCTGCTGCGGGCCTTTCTCAAGCAGTTAAAAAAAAATAAAAGGCAGCAAATAAAATATTTCATTGAAGAAAATGCCCAGGCTCAAAAACTATGTGGCTTAATTAATCTGTGTGTGTAAGACTCCTAAAAGATTAGGTCGTGATGCCCTAAAAATATGTAACTGCTGTTCATGCTACCTTTAACTACAGCCATTCTCTGACTAGATCTGTCCAAGAGGAACGTGTGTAGCTCCCCCGTCGTTTTCCCTGAGCTACCTCACGTACTCTAAGAGGTCAGACTCGACACCTCAGATACACATAGAAATAATCTGCAGCACAAGGTATGTTACAATCTTCCATAACCCAACAATTTATTTAAACTTACATCACAATGAGAATCTATTAATAAAATACATCAGTTCACACCAGTCTGCATTGCCATTTTTTAAGGGTAAGCATCTTTCTTCACTTTATATTAAAACTTTATAGAGGTAAAAACTACTGCATTGTACCCGCAGTTCTTGAAATCTATTGTAACATTAGGCAGGTTACAGAGGAACTGTCAGAGCTAATTACACTTCAGTTAACCTCACATTTTTGGCACATCTGAATGCTTTTTATTTTCTTCTTAACATAAAAGAATTCTATAGAAGTCAGAGAATCATCGACATAAAACATCACTATCCAATGGCAAGTGCGGCCTAAAAGCATACAAAAATTGCATCATTTGATTACAAAATAGATACTCTTAGTTCTTTATCCCAACACTTAACATTGAAGTGCCGTGACAGACAAGGGCCAGGAACAGGGCCAGCCTTGCTGAGTCGTTGCTGGTCACTTTGCTGCAAGGCTTTGCTTAAATAAATCCCGGAGTGATGTGTTAACAAGGCGTAGATGGCTTTTGCCTTGCCAGTCAAGGTCATTCCTTTTAAAGCACCCTCCAGCAGGTGCGAGGCCAGGAGTAAATGCCACCTTCTTTCTCATAGGCGTTGCTGCTCAAGGGACAAAGCGAACACAGTTCTGGGTGGTGTTCCAGAGGGGCCGTGTGTCTGCAGGCCTTGGCAGTTGCGTGGCTACAAATTGTGCAGTAGAGCACACGGAGGGCTTGTAAGCCACTGCTCAGTCTGGATTTCTTCTGCCTGGCACCACAGCAGCTGCTTCTTTAGAAATTAAAGTGTTTTAAGCAGGAATGAAACTTTAACGGCAGTGGTGTGCCAGGCACGTATTTGTACAAGTGTCTGCAGTTACTTGCACGAATTTTTAAAACCTGTAGGTTGTGGGTTTGGGTGATTTTTGTCGTACACCACAAACTCCAGCTGCTGTGAGCTTCTGACGTTGTATTCAAAACAAAAAGCAGCCCATAGTACTTGCAACCAGGGTTAGTTTTTCCCTGGCCCTTGAGCTGTACTGTTTCAGTCAGTTTGGCACATTAACCAGTGACTGTTTTATGTTCCACTGATTGCAGGCTCCACACACTGATATTTATTTTGTGAGACGGCTATTATATTGGTTATGTCCCTTCTGCTCGAGTTGCTCTGGTAGTAACAAAGGGTTATGGTTTATACGAGTGAACTGCTGCAGTTAAGGAGAGATTGACGTAGCAGAAGAACGCTAAGCGTGTTAGAGCTTTCTGGTTGCATGATAGCTAGCTGGTCGCGTTTCTTTAATGGGAAACAAACATTTATACTTGTCATGGCAGGGTCGCATTTTGTGCATCTTTCCAAAGCCCCTGTCAAACAAAAGCCCTGTTTACTTGATTCAGCTTTCTTACTCATCCTTTGCTGAAGCCCCTGATCTGAAATCTTTTTGGTGAGACCAGTGAGCGTTCCCAAAAGGAGCTTACGGCTGCTAGGAATCATCTCTGACTTTACCTCTCTGAGAGAAAGAGAAATTGAAGGACAGACCATAATACTTGCTATATTAGGGAAAGAAAGAAACCACACTGATAACGGAACAGTGGTTGATGGGGATGTTTGAAACTTACAGTAAGAGAAACTTCCAGTACGAGAAACTTCAAGGTATCCATGGTACTCTTTGCACGTACTTACTGACCCTGAAAGGTAGCCCTGCCAAAAACCCTCCAAAAATCAAACTCACTCCCAGAGTCCATTTTTGCCTCACATTCACAGTGAGAATTTATCCCTGCATTGATTTCCATTTCCTATTCAGCATTTGCTCTGAACACAGCTAAAGGTAATGGAAGTCCTTTGGGGGACACAAGTGCAGGATATGAAGCAGTGCAGATGGAAAAGCTTTGGCTGAATTGGTCAATCCGCACCAAATGCGAAACAGGACGGGACGGAGCTGTGACGCCTCTCCTGGTGCAGAGAAGGGAGTGCTGCTAAGGCAGACAAACGTCGGCTGAATACCTTCACATGGATATAGTGCAACTTCTGCTCGCTTAAAAAGCTGTGGAAAGGTAGCCAGCGGCTCGGTGCCAGAGTGTGGATGAACAGGCAGCCACAGCCCAGCTTACACCCGTGGCTCAGGTGACAGTGGGAGTAAAAGCCATTACGTTGCAGGTACGTTCTGGCACCTGCAATATTTTCATGCTCTTTACAACCTTTGCAAGTTAAAGTGTCAAGGCGTGATGAACTATGTAGCAGTGCATTCCTTACATTTCATATACAAAAAAAGGCTCAAGGCTGGGAGCAAGAAGGCACGAACTTGGGAAATAACATAGCTGAGGAGTTACACAAAAGTACTATGTCATTTATTAGGCATTACTTAGCACTTACGTCACATTTTGCCCCCAAATTTCCCAAAGCAACATATATTTCCCCACTTCCTTTCCCTTCGTCCCCTTCTTTTGGATAAAGCCGCCTGTGCTCTATAGATACAGTTGCTGAAGAATATAATGTGAACACAGATAATACAACATACACAGCAAAAAATGCATTATAGTATTACAATAGTCAAATAATGTGGTTAGCCTCAAGCTACGGCAGTGCCTACGTGCTATGGGGAACCAGTTCAAGGGTAGCAAGCGGAGCCACTGTACAGGAACAAAACAGCGTCGGCAGTGTTAGGCAGAGCAAGGGACCGAGGGGGAGGCTTTCTCAGGGTGCCGGAGCAGGCGAGATGGCTGTCAGTCATGGGGATCCGCACCAACACAGCGTCGGCAGTGTTAGGCAGAGCAAGGGACCGAGGGGGAGGCTTTCTCAGGGTGCCGGAGCAGGCGAGATGGCTGTCAGTCATGGGGATCCGCTCTCTTAGGAGACCTACCCAGAGCCTCGGAGATTTCTTCAGCCCGTATCAGTTCTGTGGCAGGTCCTTGGAACACCTTTACATTTGTTCATTGTGCATACATATAAAGTCACCCCCACATTTCTCTGTTAGGCTATGTTTTCTTTATATATTTTTTTTTAACTTTCAACTTTTGAATTTTTTTTTCTTACAACTGTTAAAAAAGTTTCATGGTAAAAATAACTCACTATATGATACATATACCCAAAGTGGTGCGATACTTTATATAATAAAAGATGAAAATAGTCACTTTCCATAATAAAAATAAGTTCTATTTTTTGTTTATTTTACAATATACTTAATAATTCTTTTCTTCTTCTTTACTCTGAAAGTAAATAGGTCCCGTTTTGATAGCGCTTCTGAGTCGATTAAAGTGGCAAGAGACTGGAGAATGGCTTATAAGCATTTTGAGCAGCCGCATTCCACATGTCTCTCCAGTTCTTCCGTGAAGGTGGAGCCATCCACGCACTGGAAGAAGTATTTCCGCCTTTTGCTCCGGAGAGGAACGCAGCACTGCCCGTTGCCGCAGCTGCCGCGGCATTCCAGGCGGGGTACTTTGGAGGCAGTGGCACACGACGTGTAGCCCTGCTGCTTACGGACTACTTCTCGAATTATGTCTCCTTGGCAGAGATTCTCTGGTGAGACAACAGAGATGTAAAGGAAAAAAAAATGTGGTAACCATTTTGCCAGGTATTCCCCAAACGTCAGCAGACAGCCCTGTACATGTAACGATATTCAAGGCAAACAGATGGCATGAGCAGGACCTTAATCTTTTACTGCTTTGTACCTGCCATCAAAACAGAGCTTGTGTTACACAAATGTGTAATATCCGGCACAAGGCAGAGGCCAAGCAGGCCTGCTGGCTTTGATCAGCAGTTCTGGAGGTGCTTTAATGAATGCTGAGTGTTGAATCCTGCAACACTCCTGCAAAATATGAATTAGTTTTACTATGTCTGCTTCTCAGGATCAAAGGTCAGCCCGCTCTGCATGACATTAGCAATCTGGGATACCTGAAAATGTCTGTGCCGTTCTGCAGTCACTTTGCAGCAGCCAGATACATTTTGGTGAGGCCGTATATGTGTATAATTTGGAAAGTCTGTGGTTCATTCACAGGAAAGGCACAACCTAAATAAAAATAATACAAGCCAGCTCCTTCCTTCTGTACGGGAACAAATAAAGGCAGAAGGGATGAAGATAGAACTCGCTGAGTTTCCAGTGAGTCTTTTCAGGTCAGGGCAGAAGAGTTGGGCCCCAGCCCTAGTAGGAAAGCCCAGCACAATCTGTGGGATGCCCCAGGAAACCCGCCCAGCTGCATCAGAGGGAGCAAGCTGAGAATCTTTACTGCCACTTCAGACGAGCAGTACCTCCTGCCTTCCAGTTCCTGCTCCTGTCATCTACAAAAGCCCTTGGTGTGCAGCGTGAGACCTCCTTTCCCAGCACTGCAATTACCTGATCACTGTTTGCTAAGGGTAAACCTCACAACAACCTCTCCTTTACACATCCCACCGGAATCCTGCGAGCAGCAAGCCTTGAGGATTCAGGAGACAGAGAATAAAACCCTTCGCTACAGATGTCCCCCTTTCCATATGTTTGGATAGTAGCTAGCTAGCTGTTGTGTGGTTCTTTTCTCCTCCCTGTATTGCTCTGCAGAGGCTGACTTAGCTTTATCTTCTACTATTTGCCATTTACCCCCAAATACGAGTCACGCGGAAGAGAGGTAAAAACAAAGGTGTAAAACAGAAATGCAGCAGACCAGCATCCCGGGCCCTGCGGCCAAGCGTACCTCTGTCACAATGTTCTCCGCTATAGTTAGGATCGCATTCGCAGTAGGGTTCCCCGTGCTCGGAAATTTTACACTGCCCGTGGTTGCATTTCAAAATCCTGCAGGGATTTGAGGAATTGTTCTTCTTGTCACAGTACATGCCTGTGTAGCCCTCCATGCACTTACAGGTGTAAGCAACATTGGCCACCATGCACTTACCATGCAGACACCTGGAGAAAGAGAAGCATTTAGAGCTGGCCTGTGTTAGACGTGAAAGTTCCTTTTCCCAGGCATGTTTGGTTTTGGCATCTCTGCCCGTTTAATTCCAGGATACTAATCCAAAAACAGCAGTTCAGTGTCAAACACGCTGAAGAAACTGTGAGTTTTCAGTGAATACTGGATAACGTTCAGAGACTACATTTAGAATTTGTGATCCTAAGTGATCTCTTTGAAAAAACATTAGGCTCCTCCGTGAGCACGGACCAACGCTTGGCATCCACACAAGACAGCTCACATTTACAGCATCAGCATGTACAACTAAGTGCCAACAATCAAGCTGCATGCCCAGGCTTCCTTAGCAGAATTACTCTACAAATTGTATCAGGTGATGAAAAACAGTGTGATAAATGAAGGTGCTTGTGGAAAAGCTGTGCACAGACTTATTCATGGGCAGTTGCAGTTGAAGGGTTCCCTGGCTCATGTCGTTTGCAGTGAGCTTTGGTATTTCTGAGGAATACCACAGGGAGGGGTGTTGATCCTTAGCAGGTTCTCTGACACCCATCCCCACTTCTGGGACAGGGACAGACTTGGAATGGGCTGAGGACAGGGAAGAGAGCAACACTGTCCAGCCAAGGAAAAACTGCTCAGGGCTTATAAGCCTTTGCTATATCAGGTCCTACTTGACATAAACCCATGTCTTTCTCTTATTTTTATTTATTTTCTTTCTGGTACTTTAAAATTGTTCCCTGCTTACGTTGATTCCTTGTACATTTCATTTTTAAGCTTTGAACTAAAAAGCACAAATAATAAAAGACATTTCAGTCAGGTCAAGACATGCGAAATACTGTAATAAAGGGAGTCACAGTCTATATAAACCAGTATTTTCTGCCCCACTAACCAAAGGTGTGCTTGGAAAGTAGCTCTTGTTATCATCAACTACCTGTTCTTTACAGTTGCATTTCCTCACCGAGATTAACCTGTGAGTGTTGGAGCAGACACCTGCCAGCAGGGCACCGTACTCTCCTGGACACAAAGGGATTGGCTTTAAGGAGACAACTCCAAAAGGCTGAAGTGATTTAATGAAAGGTGGGACAGTATGCGAGCATTAAAAACACGCACAGCTACTTTCCTTAGCAAGGGGGCTACATTCATGACTGCATCACCCTCCTTAGATTATGAGAGAAACAATCCCTCATCACGTAAACATCTGGAACTCTCTTATTTTTCTCTGTCCAACCACAACAGCTTCATGTTGACGTTAGAAATTCAAGGAAACATTTGGGCCTCCGAGTGTTTCTTCACTTGGGTCTTCATGCCTTTGGTCTGTAAACTGTCAGGTGCCTCTCAACACCTTCCAGAGTTCAGTACTTTGCAGAATTAGACCCAGAAGCAAGTTTAAAATGGTACCTCTGCCAAGTTAAATTTCTGCCCTTAAAAGAGTGGTTATTCACTGTGTCAATTTACCTGTCAAAAGTATGTGCTTCTGAAAAGCCCCTTCCGCAGATAGCGCAACCAAAGTAGCTTCTAAAACAGAAGTACTTCCATCTGCTTATGAAACAGCACTGAACTACGCAGACTGCTGCTCCGCGTTGGGCTGTTTCCTTGCATGCTTGCCATAAGTAAGCTATTCATCCAGTGTTTCTGATGGAGATGTGGTTATCGAGCCTTTGAACTGTGAATGCTTTACACTCCTGCTCCCTTTGCATGCAACTCCATGCTATCCTTTAAACTTGCACGTTAAAGGGGTGTTTCAGAGTGCAATATTTAAGTCAGTCAGCTATTTGGGAAATTTGGAACTGTTCACACTGGAGTGCATAATGGTCTTCAGGGAGTTAGTCTGAATACTGGGTCCAATGCTGCTGTGAGCACATCCCTAAAATGTGTACCTCCCGCTCACAGGTAGCTCTGCTCTGGATAAGTGCAGGCACTCACCACCTGAGAGGTAACCTGTACCTATTAACACGAGGTTTCGTATTTTAATGTGTAGAGTCACAGCTGAAAGTATGACCTGCAGTATTAACACCTTAGCTCCTCCAGGACAAAGAGCTCATTTGGAGAGTGAGCAACATTAGAACAAGAAGTGGAAATTGAGAGTTGCCATGGATGCTGTCTCACAACTGTCAATAATTTCATGTGGGAACCCGGCACCTCCAAAAATAGTCAGATGTGGTTTTACAAGATGAAACGTGAAATATGCATTAGCTGTAAAGCTTCCACCCTCCCATCAGCATTCGTTTGAGCTTACTTGTGGTTAAGACATGGGTCTCCAATTTCCTGGTCACACAGGGGGCCCGTCCAGCCTGGGTGACATTCACAAATCACACTTGTTTTCTCTAGGGACCGGCAAATACCGTGCTTGCAGATGTTACAGGATTTGCAGCCAGGAAGAACTCCTAGTGACTGCTGTGGTAAATCCTTGAAATCCTGCAGCTCGTTATTGATGCGGACATCATGAATACATCCATGAAAACCATTTGGTGTCTTATCTGCACCCTGGCGCAGTGAAGATAATCCAGTAGAGGTCGGGATCCCTTCAGATAAAAACAAAAAGGGAAGGTTTACTCACAGTTACAATGATAGTACATAAACTATAATTGCTAGCGTTTCTTTTGTCACAGCCCCTTATAATCTTTAAAGAATCAATTTGCATAGGACCTTTGTAAGGTAGCACAGTCTCATTGTCCTCATTCTGGAAACAGAAAGAAACAAAAATAAAATCACTTGCCCAAGCTTACGTAAGAAGTATATGACAAAAAAAAAGGAAAAAAAAGCCCAGGTTTTTTGGCCGATGGCCATGTATTCTCGTCCTTAGATAATGCTCCTTCTGTCTATAGTTTAATAGCAAGTATCCTTCTGAAAGGCTGAAGAATGTCTTTACTTGCCAGCAGGTAGCTACCACGTCTGGGATACAGCAAGATAGTTAGGCGTTACTAGAGGACAGCGGTAAGACAGGGAGCGGTAAGAGTGCACCCCATCGAAACTAGCGCAGGAGAACTCTAGAGACAGAGAACAGTACTTCAGGAGACCAGGCCAAGTCTTGTGGCGAGTACCCTCCATCTTGTTCAAGCACTTGGAAGCGTTCACACGCTCAGATGGCCAGCAGATTCCTTCGGATGTTGTGTTATGCCCTCCCCACTGACATCCGCTTGGGCTGTACAGCTGCATTAGCACAGGCAAGTGCTTCCATTTTCAACTGCGTAAGGCCTCTGAATTTGCTATCCATAAGTAACTCCACTGTTAAAGATGGTCTTAAAACCAAAACAGCATCTTTGTTTAACCGTGCGTTAGGAGGAAAGTTGCTAGACCAGGTAATGTATTTGGAGAGATGAACAAAATTCTGGGCACATGAAGGCTCAAGTCTGTCTCAAAGCTTAGTGTAGGTTAGGAACAATTGCTCTGGGGTAACTTAATCAATTACTTTAACTAAACAGTCTGAAGTGGAAGGGCAGCTGGCATCCATGGGAATGCCACATGCAGCGAGGTGGCGCATGCAGAACAGTGAGGGTTTACAAAGAAGCAAAAAGAATTTTAATGGGCAGTAAAAAAAGTCTCCACTGAGCCCATGGCTTCTGGTATCCAATAGTCCTTCATTTTAGGTCTCAGATTTGTCCTGTGAATGCATTTTTGTAGGTGCCTTTTGAGAATGCTCATCCATTAACAAAACTTTTCCACGTGATTACATCCCAAGTTCCCTGTGTATAAATTGCTGTGGGGTTGGTATCTTTTATGCTGTGCTAGAGGGAGAAATTGTGATGGCCTCACCAGCAGATTATCTTTGATGCATAATGCCCTTTAATAGCCTGTGACATTCTTAATAGGAGCCAATTATAAAAGTTCAGGTCTGTACAAAGCAAGATTAGCCAGTTTTCTGACTTACAAGGGCAATATTCAGCGTTCTTTTAGAAAAGTGTTATTAAAAGGAATTATTTACCAAAGGCTTGACAAGCACCAAGTGAAATTGCTAAGAGTTTCTACTATTGGCTTCAACGATCTGGTTAGAAAAAGCCCAAAGACTTTCTGAGTCTATTATTGTTCTGCTGACTTTTGTATTTAGAACAGGCTGTGTAGAAAACCCAAGAACTCTGTGTCACTGAAAGGGAGAGATTTCAACATTCAGTCCAGAATAGAGCTGGGGGTGGTTCTGGCAAAAACAAATCAATCGGGCAGAGCACAGCCTTCATTCTGTCTCTCGTACCCAGACACCTAATCAGTGGGATACTCATTATTCTGGGCACCTGTTCCCCACCCCACTTGGCCCCTCCTTCCCCCAAAATTCAGTACAGAATGTGAAAAAACTTCTTAACTGAAGTTTGGTCAATTCTAATACCTTTCTAAAATTGAAGCTCTGGCTTCAGTTTCCAATGAGAAAACTATTAGCCAAGAAGTTCTTAGTCAGCTTGTGTGTTAATATGGTTTGGAGGTTTTAATCTTCCCCCCCCAAAATTTTCAGACCTCTATAAAATTTCCAGCAGAAATACAGCTCATTTATGGTATATTTAAACCTACTGACTATTGATTTGCTTTTTTGCAGTGGCTGTTTGTGATACTTCCATTGTATTCTTCAACCACAACATCTTGGTGCCAGCCAGTTCTGCAAGCTTTAGAAATGACAGACTGATTGCTCTTGCCACGGCCGTAAAACATAGAAACCGCCTGTGCTGTGCTGAGGTTAACGTCCCTGGTCTGGCGTGCAAGCTTGTGCTGGCCGTGCGGTGGGGTGCTAGTGGACTATGGAGTACGAAGCAGAAGAGCAGAGGTGTGGTTTCCAGGCTCTCTGTTCGGGGAAGCAACCTCTGGCAGAGGGGAAAGGCAAACTGCGAGTTCCCCCACCCCCCACCCCACCCCGAGAGTCCTCTCCGTAGGATGGAAGATGATTTGCTTCTGAGAAGACTTGTGAAAATCTCAAAGTCCAGAGCAACTCACTATACCTCCAATGTAGAGGGGTGTGTTGAGGCTGACAGAAGACTGTTTCTGGAGTTTTCCTAGACTCTTGGGAGTCCCCTTGTCCACCACCAGGTTCAGAGTTTGATTCAGCATCATGAGTTCCACACTATGAAACTGCCCATCATTTACTGTTTCCACACTAGAAGTAAAAGAAAAAAGAAAATTAGAAGATGATGTCAACAATGAACTGCCTCTGCTTCTGTGACATTCTATCTCCAGCTTTTACACTTTGCAAGGCACAGCTCGCATTCCATGCTCCTTTACGGTCACTGTGTTCTCGACATTTCTTCTAGCCTCCAAGGCACAAATTTAAACATTGCTGATGCCTGTGCAAGCAGTACCTAAACATATGTAACGCTTGAGAGGACAGCTAATCAGGATAGTAGCTACTGTAGTTGTGTTTCCCCAGGCACAGGAGGAAGGGTGTAGCTACATGATACATTGGCTTTGGTGGCAAAATTACTTAAAAACCTCTGTTCTGTGCTCTCAGCCACAGCTTGCTGCCCTCTGTCACGCTGCTTGGTGCCCATGTTGCAAGCCAGATCACTGAAATGATTTCTTTTTGTATGGTTAGTTTAAACTCAAATTATTTCCCAGGGGCAGGGAGGGACTGCAGTTTGGGGCAAGAGACAGCAGGGGCCTCTGAAACCAGCATTTCCTTACAGCAGAAGTATCTTGTAACTACCTGCCGAGGCATAAGGACAGGCTGAGTTTCTTAAAGCCAGAGAAGAAATTCAGCAGTTTTTGGCTTATAAATGACTGAGGTACTTTGTTCAATACAATACAGTCCTACCCGAACGCAAGGAAAACTGACAAATTGCTACTCCTCTTTGAGAAACATTTAGGTGTAGATTGAGGCTTGAGAATAAGACAGCAGGAATTTGGGGGGGGACAGGGAGCGGGTAGCCGTCTGAGCAGACAAGTTATTTATTGCTCAGGTGTTTTTAACACTGATTTTTCAAATGCATGAAGCCTGCAGTGAGTCAGATAACTCAACAGCTCTTTGCTAGTCTGCACCACATGCAATCTTCACCTTCATCTTCAGGTCAGTCTCCCAGAAATTAAAAGATGCAGTGGTACAATTCAATTTGCATCACACTATCGTTTTTTATTTTCAGGGCAGCTTTAGCTCTCAAGCCTTTATGCTGCATGTTGAAATTCTCTAAAACAACTCGATAGCTTCATGCACTCCTAAAAGCAAGAATGGGCAAGGGTGAGATTACCTGCTCTCGAGCAAAGAGGGTTTCAAATTAGGCTGGTAGTTATAGACGTGATGGGACATTTCCACTGCTGTAGATGTACTTAAATGGTACAGCCTCTGTTCCATACGCATGCCAACACCAGTGCATAATGAGAATCTAATAGCAGTAGCGGTTACAGCCGAAATTAGACTGTGGGCTATGTAAACTGCCCACATGCACAGTGTTGCCAAGACATCTTAAGCTTGGCCTGCAAGCACCCTTTTCCAAATTCCTCCTGGCAGGCTCGCTAGCTGGGTGGTGGTTCTGTTACACAAGGATAAAGACAGAAAACACCAACTGTGGGATTTAGGCATCCTGAGATACTGCTTAGCCAACAGTCTGGATTTGGGATTGCTGCACAAGTGGTAAATACCATATTAAAATGTAAAAGTTCAGTTTTAAGAATGGGTTTCTGCTCATTCAAATGGCCCGTAAGCTCAGCATCCTCTCAGTAAGTTACAAAGTCATAGGTCAGATTCCTTTCAGGTGTTTTGTAAAGCTGCAATGTAGATGTCTCTGAGCTGTTTACCCAGATTTTCTTTACTATCAGTGGAGAGGAACAGACACACTTAAGGAGTGACTCATCTCTGAGGATGAATCACCTTTCAGATGTGTCCACCTCTCAACCTAGATGACATGCTGCCCATCTTCAGTGCCCAGTCCTACATAACTGATGTGTAAGGGCGTTGTAGCATGGAAATAGGACCTCAACTTCAGAAACAAATTACATCACTTGGAAATTACCAGAATTCAGTTGTTTCTGGAAGAAATTTCATTTTATAGTGTTTTACAGTAGACCTGACATAACCAATTATACATGAGCAATGTCAGGCAGAAAGTCAGCACTGCAGGTGTTTCTGAGGATGTGCTTGTTTAAGAAGAGCGCACCACTGTTTCAGAACTGAGCTGATGTGCCTCTACAGTGCTGCTGTCCCCAGAGTTTTTTGGGATGAATCACAAACACATATGCCTTTAAAAGTTTATGTAAGATTACACAGGTTATAAGGCTTTACATAAACAGGAGGTAAGTTAATTCTGCCACAGGACAGCTCCCGGGAAAGCTCTGCTGGCTGAACTGCTCGCCCTTGACCTGCAGGAAAGTGGCTGGGCTGCAGGTGCTGCTCATCCTCAGGATAGCGAGAGCGCCCCGGGGAGCTAGGTCTCAAGAACCTGGAGCTGATGGTACTGTCTGAAGTGTTTTTAAGAAAAAAAAAAAAATAAAGGCTTGGCATTGTACAAAAATCCAGATCCAGTTGATCTAGTAGACAGTCTGGCTCAAAATACAGTTGTATCAGGGCCACTGCAAGGGCAGTGAGCTGCGTGGGCCGGGATGAGAGGCTGAGGACTTATGCTAGACTCATTGCCAAAGGTGATACAGTGCCTGTACCTCAGAAAAGCAAGCCTATCATCACTGTACCCGAGCCCACTGTATTGGGGCCCACACCTCTAGCAGACTACTTTATGGATTGACAGCTCAAGTAAGTTTGAAAACAGCTGGTCCAAACTTTCTGTTTAGATATTCTTGAATTCTGCTAAGTATCTGCCACGTTACAAGAAACAGCTGTGTTACGGCAATGCGCCAACTGGGTGATCCCTGTGTGCTCCCTGCATATCTAACTGTTGTGTTGCAATGCTTAATTCATATGGGTAAAGTACTCAGACTTCCAGCTGAAAGGTGCAAGATAAATGGAAATGCATATTTGTAATTGTTAGTCTACGCAGAAGTGCCAATGAAAGGAGGAAGTATAGCCAAAACCCATCGGCTCTGACAGCTGAGCGTTGAGAAGATGGGATGGATGGCTGTACGATAGGGAACCCTTCCCTGGTGGGATCAATATCTGAAGCTAACGCACAAAACTACATCGTTATCTGAAGAAGGCCAAGCTACGACCATTCGTCAGAGGACAACACTATCACGTCTGGCAGGGCTGGCTCTTCCCTGGGCCAGGATTTCACAGGCATTAATCACCTACTCCTCCGCAGTGTGTGCTTTTTCCAGATTATGCCTTGACTAATGGACAAACAAAAGTCTGTGCGTCCTGGCGATGGAAGCAGCCACCCCACATGGTGCTCACGCCCTTCAGCATACCCAGGGCTGGTATTTTTGCTGGAGAGGGAGTGAGAGGCCCCTGTCTGTAGGTACACATGGATGAATATTACTCAGTTCTGACTCGTTCACTTTTTAACGCTGATTTTAACTAATCTGGGCCTGGACTTTGAGAACTTACAGCCATCACCCAACACTGCAGTTTCGTAAAGCAGATAAAGTCAAAACAGGCAAAGCACCCATTTGCTTTTTGAGAAGGCGCAAACACATGATAGAAAAGCTGAATGTGGACAGCCGGGATGGCAGAAAATCCCCAGCCAGGAGATACTTGTGTTAACGCACTTATTGCTGTTGCTGACAGAAAGACGTTAAGATGCCTTTGGATTTTGAGAGAGATGGAGACAACATTGGGGGAGAAACCAGTGGTGAGAGAAATGCTACATGAACTCTCCTCAGAGCCTCTTATGTAGCTGGGCCTTTAGGAGACTCAGCAATCGTCTGAGACAGTTGGAGACAGTGGCTTGGCTGGAGATGAAGGGAAGAAAGCCACAGACGCTGAACAGTGCATCACAACGCAGCTCGCAGCACAAACTTGCTGTGCTCGGCTTTTTTTCAAGGGGCCTCTTCCTGACCCAGCTCTCTGCAAGGGTTTTATTAAAATCTTAATGGAATTCTTATTGGGGATCAGGTGGTCTTACGGAGCTCTTCCTTCTGAAACAGCCTGCGGTATGTAAATACCTGCCTCGGAGTCAGGGATTTTCTGTGTTTCACCAGCAATCCCGCGCTGCAGAGC